CAAAATAATTTGTTATGAGATTTTGAGTCGACTTCGTTAAATAAAATTAAAAATGCTTTAAAATGAGTCCAAACTCAATGGGGTTACCTCAAAAATTAACCGAGATACAATTAATTACAATCTTAAAAAAATTCAAGATGGCGGACGTCTTTGTTAGTTTTAACCTAACTTTTCGTTATTTTTTGTTGTAAATATGGCATGTTTGGTATCAAATTAAAGGGATTTTAATACAGATTACGAATTTGATGATATCATCAATTAAAATGGAATTTTCGATTTTATAAATATTTTCAAAAAGAATTAATTCATATAAAATCAAAAATAAAATTAAAAATGCTTTAAAATGAGTCCAAACTCAATGGGGTTACCTCAAAAATTAACCGAGATACAATTAATTACAATCTTAAAAAAATTCAAGATGGCGGACGTCTTTGTTAGTTTTAACCTAACTTTTCGTTATTTTTTGTTGTAAATATGGCATGTTTGGTATCAAATTAAAGGGATTTTAATACAGATTACGAATTTGATGATATCATCAATTAAAATGGAATTTTCGATTTTATAAATATTTTCAAAAAGAACTAATTCTTATAAAATCAAAAATAAAATTAAAAATGCTTTAAAATGAGTCCAAACTCAATGGGGTTACCTCAAAAATTAACCGAGATACAATTAATTACAATCTTAAAAAAATTCAAGATGGCGGACGTCTTTGTTAGTTTTAACCTAACTTTTCGTTATTTTTTGTTGTAAATATGGTGTGTTTGGTATCAGATTAAAGGGATTTTAATGTAGATTACGAATTTGATGTTATCATCAATTAAAATGGAATTTTCGATTTTATAAATATTTTCAAAAAGAGTTAATTCATATAAAATCAAAAATAAAATTAAAAATGCTTTAAAATGAGTCCAAACTCGATGGGGTTATCTAAAAAATTAACCGAGATACAACTAATTTTTACCTTAAAAAAATTCAAGATGGCGGACGTCTTTGTTGGTTTTAACCTAATTTTTAATTATTTTTTTGTTGTAAATATGGCGTGTTTGGTATCAAATTAAAGGGATTTTAATATAGATTACGAATTTGATGTCATCATCAATTAAAATGGAATTTTCGATGTTATAAATATTTTCAAAAAGTGTTAATTCATATAAAATCAAAAATAAAATTAAAAATGCTTTAAAATGAGTCCAAACTCGATGGAGTTATCTAAAAAATTAACCGAGATACAACTAATTTTTATCTTAAAAAAATTCAAGATGGCGGACGTCTTTGTTGGTTTTAACCTAACTTTTAATTATTTTTTGTTGTAAATATGGCGTGTTTGGTATCAAATTAAAGGGATTTTAATATAGATTACGAATTTGACGTTATCAATAAAAATGGAATTTTCGATTTTATAA